CAGCAAAGAAGCATCCGCTAAAAGATCCTATCAACAACAACATAAATGGCATAAAAAATAAGAGAGAAAAAAAATCCCAGCACGATAAGGTTATTGCTAGGAAAAATCATTTATCAGTAAGATAGAAGTCTACCAAAAAGGTGCAAAGAAGAGTGTGAACAACAGTTTATCCTTAAAAGAATATAAGGGTCAGCAAAATACATTTATCAGCAAGATAGAAGTTGACCAAAAAGGTGGAAAAACAGAGTATTAACAACAGTTTATCCTTAAAACGGTTAAAGGCTTATCTGTTTACATTATTGCCCTTATGACCGAACAAAAAAAGTTTACATTGCCCTTATCTTATCTAAAGACCCACCCCTTCTCTAGACATTTAAAACTCCAAAGGCCGTTGCGGCGGAGGCAAGCAAGAGCAACAAAACTCCAACCTTTTTCCAGCTAGCAAACATGTGGATGCCATTGGAAAACCCCAAAAAGCGTTGTGAAAGTGTTTTATCCAGCATAACTTTTTCTTTCGGCGGATTACTACGATTTGCAGGTGGATACATAGTATGGACCACCAATTTGTTTCGGTTTGCACCCCTACCATAAACACGCAAACCCATCCTTGTTTTTTCTATTTTCACTGAATTCTTTGTACCAGGTCGCGGGGCAGTGTCAGAATATCTCACTAATGTCCCTCGATTTCGTTCATCGTGTCGAGCCTTAACCAGTACCTTAAATTTTTGACAAAAACTCCTCCTAGAATCTGTTGTTCTCTTCGATTGATCTCTTGTACCATTTTATTTACCCTGAATCAAAATTTAAACATAGCGTCAATATTTCTGTTTTTTTTGAAGTATCTTTAAGCTTGTGAGTTGAAGTATAACACCATGAAAAACTTAACAACTCACATTAATAAAGTAAAAATATAAGATTACCAAAAGTTACATATAAATTAAAAAAAAACACAATCAAAAAGCATTTTGACAGTGTTTTAGATCAAATTTTGAAGTTTTAGCCGATAAAGAAAATACATAACTTAAGTATTTATGAGTTAACGATACTTGTAGTTTTAATGTTAATATCTATGAATTTTTCTAAACATCTTAGTTGCATTCATGCATTGTTAAAAGGTTACTCATTTTCCTAAGTATAGAAGTTGTGAATTTTTTTTTTAAAAATGTATAGTTCGTTTTGAGAGCGCAGTTGTGAACAGCACATATTAAAGAAGTATGTGACGACTGGTGAGTGTGTGTGTGTGTATGTGTGTGTAGTGAAGCATTCACTTGAGATGCTTAAGATAATATTCGAGCAAACTCTGGCCTCAAGGTTTTACTTACCTCAAACCTAGCCTTGATCTTCTCTTAATTCACTGTTTATTAACATGGCTAAAATCATTTTCATTTGCAAATGCAATATCATATTAATTGTGCTGCTACGTCTACTCATATGTTCTATGTAGCATATGAATTCTACTCAATACCCTAACATTACAGTGAAAATTAATTGATATTATAAAGAAGTTGAGACTTTACCAAAGCAGCAAGGCAGCGGTTGCAAAATTCAAAGGCTAAAGCTTTCACTTTGTTTCGATTTGCAAAATACCAAAAAAGATATTTACAATCGAGGAAAGAAAACACATTTCACTAAAGAATGCACTTCAGCCATTATCAAATTGTCAACCGAGCGAAACGCATAAAACCATACACATATACACAGCTGAATTCTATTCTTTTCAGCAGTTCCTGGTAAAAAAACCAAACCCCCTACAGAAAATCAACAAAAACAAACCCTGGTCGTATGACTCTTAGGCCTAGTCAAATGATCCTATTCCATATCCAAATGGGTTTTCTTAAAAAAACCAATCTCTCAGTTATCCTTTTCTTTTCTTCTTTCAAAAGTCAAATCAAGACCAAAGTTTCACAGATAATGTATACCCAGAAAAATAAAAAGCAAAATTAATGTATTTCAGAAATGGACATCGGGTCGATGTTGAACCTTTAAAATCTGTAAACCCAGCGAATCAAATGAGTAAAGAAAAAGAAATCGAAATCCTACTGTTCTGAATTCATTCTTCTGTTTGCTAATCTAAAGATGAAGGGAAAGTTATCATAGTTTCACTATGCAAGATTTCTTTATGCCAGATTTCATTTGCAGGCACCAAAACACGCGCAAAATTAAAGTTGGGGTCTTCATACTCTATTGGGTATCTGAAGTCATGTGAAAGCTCGGAAATAACCAAACCAACATCCAATTTAGTACACACCTAAGAAAAACTTAAGCAAGAAAATATATCCAACTGCTCAATCAATAATCAAACACAGTAATACAATCATTGAAAAAGTCTCAATCCTTTATCAAAATTGAATTAATAAAATTGAATGTTGGGGTCAAAATAAAAAAAAAGTAATTTAATTATAGTTAACTAATCAAGGTTAAGATTAATCAAAAAGCTTGAAAGTATCATATCTAAAATTACACCTCAGGCTGCAAGTAGAATCAAAACCATGGAAGATCAAAACCACTAACCTTAAACACAGAGGTCTTCGTAGGCTTCAAAGAAAAGTCACCAACTCGAAAAACCCGATCTCCTGAAATCGAAAACAAAATCATATTAACCATCATCACCCAGAATCCAAAGCTCAACAGCTTGAATCAATTTCCATACATGAGTTCATTACATGCACAAATGCAGCGTTTGGTGTGTGAGAAAAACAAAAGAAAACCCTTTTGAAAAGGTTTTCTTTCATTGAACAGAAAGATGAAAGTAACATTTCACCACGACTATGTTAATTGAATACAAATTTTTTTTTGTGATTATTAATTTAGTATGGATAAGGATTAAGGGTGGCTAGTACATGCAAACTTTCAAGCATGACTTTGTTGTCGGAGAGGTTATGTCATGAAACCAAGTTTTAGTTTTATAGATTATGCCATGCAACCAAGTTTTAGAAATACGTTAAGCACACAAAAAAAATAAAAAAATCTAACCTGTTCTCAACCTTGGGCCTAGTGCTATATCGTTTCAACATTCAAAAAATATCGGTAAGGATCTGAGTCGGAACATAAGTGCTTACAAACTGTCTATTGGTAGTAAGTTTTTGCGACACTGAGTTGAAGGCCTAATGAAAGATTCTGAACTATTTTTGCATATGAAAGCAATAAAACAGTTGTTGGATGATCATCATATAGGGCCATGGCTAGCTCCCCACTATATGTATATGCAGAGAACAGAAAAGGAGGCCAAGATGTTAACCTTGAAACTCACCCCTAAACCTGCTTCTTTAAATACATTCCTTTGGTTTCACTCGTACTCAAAAACCGCAAAAGATGTTTCCCCAAAAATAAAACACATCTCTCACTAAGTCTTGATCATACTGTTTCCACACACCCTTTCATATTATTCTCCCTTCAAAACCTTTATCTACCACTCTACCCTCTCCACAGCCATGAGCTTCCCTATTAGATGATAGGTTTGAGTTCGACCCTGAGGAGTGCAGTATTGAGAACGGCAAGTGGGTGTTCAAAACCAAGATTTTAAAAAGCAATCTATCAACAGATGAGCAAAACAATAACTAAAAGAGCCTTCTAACACCCTTATCACATAAATACAGAAGCAACAAAGTACGGAGAAACAATCTAGTAACAGAAATACATAAGCAACCAAGATTTGCAAAAACAATCTATCAACAGAGGAGCAAAACAACAACTAAAACAGCCTTCTAACACCCTTATCACAAAAATATAGAAGCAACAAAGTATGGAGAAACAACCTAGTAACAGAGAGATATTCAAAGGATGTAAAGCAGAAAGGAACCTCAGTTTGATTTGTTGAGAAGGAAACAGGAGCAAAGCATGAAGAAACACAGAAATGAGCAGAGTGTAACTCCCAAAGTTATAAAGACACAAACCTGACTCTAACAGTGCACGAAACAGTGCACTAACCAGATTGATCTTCCTAACACCCAACTAAACGGGCTATAAAATTCCTTTACAACTTGATTGAAACTATAAAATGTTAATCACAGTTTTAACAAAGCAAATGGCAAACCAAACAATAAACAATGATTAAAAACAGTGTTTGAGCTGTTGAATCAGAGTACAAAACCTCTAAATATCCCTGCCACTCAATCAAATCATGCTTTCTGCCCTCTCTGTCTCACTCTCCATCCTTCTTTAAAAACATTGGACAAAATCCATAAATCTCTCCCACAACCCCAGAAACTGCATGCAACCATGTCTTCCCCATTAATTGTTGCAGAAATGGCATCCAGCTGGATCCAAAATCCCGAAAGGAACCCTACCCCTAGCCCTCCCCACTCGCCTCGCCGTCTCTCTGCGCACCCTTTGCTGTCGACTCTTAAAACCAAACTCTCAGGCACCCCTACCCTTGATTCGCTCATCCTACCCCTCTCTCTCTCCTCCCGTCTTTCCTCACATCCCGTTTGAAACGCACGACTCTTCTCTCTCTCCTCTTCTCTCACCCACGACTCTTCCATCTCTACTCTACTCTCTGCCATTCTGCAAGCTACACTGGATGACTCACGGCATTCACCTCACCGCATTCCTATCCCTACCGAAACCAACCAAATAAACCCAGCAGCCACAGGCCAAACCAGCAAAAGGCCATCTGCCCAAACCCAAAAAAAATCCCCCAGGCCGAACCCAAAACTTCCACAAAGCCCACTCATTAAACCAATGGTATGGTTGTAATTAAACTGAAATTCAGGTGCATGAACAGTAAGGAACAGTGACAATTCCAATGCTTTCTTTAGACTAAAGTAATTCACTACAAAATATTAGATGGAAGGATATGAAAGACTAGATGCAATGCATCGAGAATGATTTGTAAATGACAGCTTGAAAGGAGACATTTAAAAATACTTTGTTTATGTGTGTAATGATCATGTAGTGCATTTCAATATCTATGTCTACTGCTTTGTAGATTTTTTTTTTTTTTTTTTTGAGAAGAAACAATATTATTAAACAAAGTGAGAGAACTAGGAGTTTTAGCATACATAAGTCACAAGTCGTGTTATCTGTCGACGTGATAACAAAAGTCCCTCACCTCCACTATAAGGGCTTGTGACATCATTATGTGTGCATTATCAGATTCCTTGCTTTTCTGTCTATGATAACCTCTGGGAAGACTATGAAGACCCTGACAACAGAATATCTCCGCATCAAAATCCAAAAAGCCCCATCAGCGAAGCATTTTCAAAATTTCAGACTATATGAGCACAAGCATTGCAGGTGATCCGGAACAATGTGTCAAAACCTGTTAGCGACGTCTACATTAAACTCCCGAAAACAATGGTCGTATTGTAGGGTCCTCACAGAACAACCTTGATAACACAAACAAGTAAGGCAGACTGTGCTGCCCTTGAATAGAATACCAAGTATCCTTACATATATGCACATATCTTAGATTAGTTTATGTAGAAAGTATATTCATTTCGGACAAAGTACCTGTCGATTGATCTATCAATAAAGTTAGCAGCATGTGCTGCCCTTCAAGAACAAATTCCCTGGTTGATCCTGCTGAAATGGCCAGAATAAGTTACTTTCAAAATACGAGGACCTGTAAATAATCTTGAATGTAAGATAGATCTATCAATTAAAAGGATACATTTATAAATACTTTGTTTATGTGTGTAATGATCATGTAGTGCATTTTAAATGTCTATATCTAATGTTTTGTTGATTTCTAACAAATTTATCCTAAATTGCTTGGTACTATCAAACCCTTCATCCAAACATAGGGTGAGAGAACTAGGAGTTTTAGCATACACAACTCACTGCCATAGGACAATACAAATTAAGGCAAAACAAATAGATGTCAAAATCCAAAATGCCTTACTTCTTTGAGTCATTATGTGTGCATTATGCCCTTATCAGACTCCTTGCTTTTTTGTTTATGAAAACTCTGGGAAGACTATGAAGATCGTGAGGAAAGAATATCTCCGCATAGAAATCCAAAAAGCCCCATAAGCGAAGCATTTCCAAATTTCTGAGTATACGAGCACAAGCATTGCAGGTAATCCTGAACCATGTGGCAAAACCTGTTTGTGATGTCTACATTAAACTCCTAAAAACAATGCCCGTATTGTAGGATTCTCACAGAACAACCTTGACATAACCAAGAAGTATGGCAGACTTCCATAACGAGCGGAGATATAGAGCTCATGGTTCAGATTGATGCCTTGCATTGGTCCTTCGGAAACCCTGAAATAAAATTAGAAAAGGAATCTTGTGACTTATTGGTCTTTTCTTAATTTATTCATATTTGTCCAGCTAATCAAAGTGGTAATCAAAGATGGTCCTGATTCAAAGATGAAGAAATAATGATTTATAAAGTGATCTTAATTACTTGTGCAAGTTTGACAATCTGGACCTTTTCCTTTTGTTAATTAACTCGAGCCAAATTCACACGTTGTTTTTGTGCAGAAACATATCGGCACCTATGTAAAGATGACAGATGCAATGAAAGATGAGTAAGCATTCCACCGTATTCAAACCACAACAGTAAGAGGAAAAAAAAAACATCATCAAGGAGTTACCTCGTCCTGTGCAGGGGAGAATCATATTGGTGTCATAGCTAGCCAGAGCACCCAATAACTTACTTGGTATTGTATGAAGTAATTTATGTAAGCAAACACTTGTTGCTATTGGATGATATTGTCCTGAAATTTAATTGATTGATAAATTAAACACAGTATAGCTGACAGTAAACAATTGAAGTGAAACTTTTACAAAATCTGAATCTCGTATGTACGTACCTGACTTTGATTTGAGATCTCAATTGATGATGACTTGGTCGCCTATCTCGATGCAAGGAATGTGAGCTATCTTGCTCCATTCTTCTCCCGTCTTCTCCTGACACCTCTTCTCCAGAGAAGAACATAACTGGAATCCCAGATGACGGAGCGATGCCGGCAAACCCTCTTTTGGCAGGAATTCGAGACTATCACAGCGGTAAATTTGGAGCTTTTGAAGAGAAGTGAGGTGTTGAAGTCCCTTTCCCTCCAAAGATTTCAGACTTTTCATTCCATAGATTCGGAAAGTGTGAAGAGTGGGAGGAAGCAGCTGTTCCTTGAGCACCGTCTCCAACACATCCTCGCTTCCCGAGATCTCAAATGTTCGAAGGGAGACAAGTCGTTGCGAACCCCAGTACTCCACTGAAGGCCTCAGTTTCTCACAACCACTGATTCCAAATAATTGTAGGTTGGGAGGCAAACCTCCTTCTGCAAATGACTCTACATTTGGAAGACCAAACATCTCCAAATGTCGAAGGGCTGTGAGGGTGTGCAGTCGATCGGGCAATAACTTCAAATTCTTGCAATTAACGACTCTAAAAAGAGCCAGGTTGGGAGTGGGCAACCCCCCGTGGGGAAAAGAGACCAGATTTGGACAAGAATAGATGGAGAGAGAATCGAGATGAGTGAGATTTTCATGATCAGCTCCTTCTCCAATGGAAAGGGATTCTAGATTTTTACTGCTCCAGATTTCAAGAGATGAAAGTTTGGGGAAAACGCCCAGCGGGAAGGACCTCAGTGAATCACAGCTATTGCTCAAATACAAAGTTTGAAGGGATGTCAATTTGGCCATCATCTCATGAGATAGGAATTCTAATCTCCTGCAATTAAGTATCTCAAGTGATTTCAATGTAGTGGGTAGACCATTTCTTGAGAACGACAAGAGGGGCCCGCAATTACAGAGAGTCAATTTTTGAAGACGACTGCTCAAGTGCGGCTGCAAGCAATCTGTGCGACTAAAAATTGGAATCTCAAGTGTGAAAAGCGAGGACAGCGACTCCGTCTCTAGTAACGACGAGAGACCAGGGCATCCTCTTATTTGCAGATCCTGAAGAGATTGTCGCAAGGATTCCGTGTTAACAATGAGAGACCAGGGTATCCATCTACTTCTAGTAGCCCTTTCATGCAGAACCCCGCAGTGGAACACTCCAAGTTTTTTCAAGCAAGGAAGATGATAGGGCAAGTTTCCCCTCAGCTTCGGACAATTATGTAAAACCAGCTCCTCGAGACGAGGAAAGTCCGGACATTGACCTCTACCTGGACTTGGCAGCCATTCTTCCCATTCTGGCATCCATCTGAATTCCAGCCTCTCTAAAGAACGAAATGGCTGAATTAGACAAGTTCCATTGACACCATAAAACTCAGCACCAATACTCATAACACATTTCATGTTGTCTATATAGAGCTCCTTAAGAGCAGGCAACTGCCCAACTGGTGGCAACGACCAACAATTACTAAAACCACTGAGGCGCATGACTTTTATGTTGGAGAAGGAAGAGTCTCCCAACCAATTCGGAAAGCTTGTTCCACCATAAGATCTGATGGTCAGTTCCACCAAATTTACAGAAGGTTGTAATCTTTCAAATACATGTTTCTCTTTCATGGAATCATCTGCATCCTTCCTACCCCATGCCAACTCTATTTGATTGAGATCTTTCTTATCCTTCAAATTGGCCCGCAAGGCATCCATAGCATCGACTACATTCTCTAGATTCAAGATAGAAAGTTCCCCTCCAAGATTGGGTAACTCCCCCAATTCTCCAATGCCGCCAGACCTAGTAGATGTCCCCAACACATAAGGAGTGAGTGTTCTCAAACTTTTTAGTCTACCCATTTGAACCGGCATCTCTTTTATACCAGTATCTCTAATATCAAGATGGCGCAAACTAATCAGTTTCCTCATGTCTACAGGCAATTCAACAAGAGAGGAACAATGAGACAACAATAGAGTTTGCAAATTGTAGAGACTACTCACGTTATCTGGTAACCTTTTAATAGCAGTGTAAGAGAGGTCAATGTAGCGTAAATGTATGTGCTCCCCGACGCAATCAGGTAAGTGACTGACACTTTTATATCCTGCCAAAGACAGTGCCCGTAAACATTTTAGTGTTGGCAACAAATCATTTGGAACCTTACTACTTACATAATCCCAATTTGACTTCCTTAAAGACATGGGTAAGAAGGTGCCCAAATATTTAACTCCATTTAATGGCTGAAACTTTTTAGCAGCATCAAATCTTCCTTTCCAATATGACAAATGTCGAACTCTTTTAGGAACTTCATGTGATCCTTCCTCATCCATCCGAAAACAAAATTCTCTAGACACGAACATAGCCAAGTCATTAACGAGATCATGAATTGTGAATCCAGTTCTTGATCTTTGAATTAGTGATCTTGATACTAATTCATTAAAATAGTTCTCGCCATCCTCTTCCATTCTTGCCCCGCCCTCAACTTGTGAAATTAAACCCACAGCCATCCAAAGTCGAACCAAAGTATGCTTATCAAATTCATAGTCCTTTGGAAAAATTGAGCAATAAGCGAAACATTGTTTTAAATAAGGAGGGAGGTAATGGAAACTCAATCTTAGAGATGGAAGAATACTATTTGCTTGTGGTAGCTCCCAAAGATTGCTATTCAATATATGATTCCATTTCTTGTGGTCCATGTTGCAACTTAAGAGACCTCCAAGTGTTTTTGCAGCTAAAGGCAGACCATTGCACTTACGTGCAATTTTTTTACCAATTTCTTCCAAGTCTGGATGTGCACTAGTGTTTTCATTTCTAAACGCATGTTTTGCAAGTAACAACCAACAATCATCATGCGACAATTGTTTTAAAGAGTGAATAGGAACAGTGCGCACGATGGATGCAACACCTTCGTTCCTTGTTGTCACAATGACCTTACTTCCCCTCGCCCCATAAGTGAAAGGAGCTTGTAGAACACTCCAATCGTTATAACTGTCATTCCAAAGGTCATCCAACACAAATAGAAACATTTTCCCCCTTACTTGTTCCCTAAGATCAACTTGAAGCAAGCCCATATCTGACGTATCACAGTGTTTTGAAGTAATTGACTGAAGAAGGGTTTTAGTGACCCTAACAGCATCAAAATCTTCGGAGACACACGCCCAAGCTCGAACATCGAAATGCTTTTTTACCATGCCATTGTTGTAAAGGAGCTGAGCAAGGGTTGTCTTACCAACTCCTCCCATTCCCACTATGGCGATTACGGATATATCGCCGACACTTGCATCATCAGATAGCAACAGTGTTTTCAACTTCGCTTCATCTTCATCCCTACCATAAGTAGAGAATTCATGCTCAACGAAGGAAGTTGTGGGAGTTCTTTGTGAAAGCTTGCCCTTGACACCTTCTCTGAGACCGAGCACATCTTTCTGTTGTGCAAGGTTTTCTAGTCCTACAAGTAACTCTTGAATCCTACCATTCATGCCCTGGTAAAAAGGATTAAGAGTAGAGAAGAAGTTCAACACCTGGGTTTTCTTCGTTTGATATTCAGCTTCCACCTTGCTTCGCAAAACTTCAGTATCGATCTCGTCCAGCAGGTCCTCGGCTTCGAAGACAGCATGTTTGAGCTCGTCCAGCCACTTTTCCACACGGGGTTTCTCCATCTGCTTCTCCTCTGCATCATCAAGCACTGCATCAAGGGCCAGAAACGTCCGCTTCAGTTTCTTCAGGAGTGAATGGTCAAGTTTTTTTCCCCGGAAGAAGTCCATCAACTCGCCGGAACCAATCTTGTCGCACAGCGTCTGGATGGAAGCAGAGAGAAAAGCCTCTCCAATCAAAGCCATTTTTTTTTTCTTTCTTTCTTTCTGGAAACTAGTAATCTGAGAGAAGCGTTTTGTGATGGAAACTCAAGCTTAAACTCTTATGAAATTCACATCTGAGACGACTAGAGATTGTCTTGGTCAATAATTCAGTGGACCACGCACGTTAAAGCATAGAGAGAGAATTTGTGGTCGTGCTTTGTTTGCTAGTGGAAAAGTGTAGGCTAAAAACGTGTCGGTGGCATGGTTAAGCGAGTGGAAAAATAACAATGGTAATATCGTTCCGCCCATTTTATATTTTGAAAACGTTGCATGAAAACTTACCAAATACCATCAAATCTTTACATATATAAAAATAATTATGATATCATTCACCAATTGATTTCTTATCTGATTTCTCAATCAATTCTTCAAAATTTCACAACCTTTCAACGTTGATAGTAATAATTGAAAGTTAATATTAATATCACAAACAAATAAAATAGTAATACATATTGCTAATGTCACAAGATTTTTTTAACAAAAAAAAAATGAGCTGGCCAATAATTCAGTGGAGTACACACGTTAAAGCATAAAGAGAGAATTGGTAGTTGAGCTTTGTTTTGTGGGTGGAAAAAGTCTAGGTTAAAAATGTGTCGGTGTGATGAGTGATGGTTGCTTTCTTTCAACTTTCCTAAGGCAACATCGGTGCAATGGACTATTGTCATGTGTTCAGGGATGAGTGCTTTCTTTCTACTTTGCTAAAGCAACATCGGTGCGATGGACCATTGTCATGCGTTCCACTAATATTTGTATGTCCTGTGTCACTCTTTATAAGTTCCACTAATATTTGTCTGTCCTGTCACTCTTTATAACTTACAAGAGAGTTCCTATAGTTCTAGAGTGGGCGCATGATGTTGCTGAACTAAAACTGAAATCGAAATGGTTACAAAACAGACCCTAAGTTTCTCTCCTTATTGAGTAAATTTTAGTTAGGTGTATCATGCATGTAGATTTACACACTATGTAGATATATGATTCCACGTAATTTTATTATTACTCAATCACAAATGAGGTAACAATTTGTTATATACATCAATTTACATGAGAGTATCACAAGCAGATAATAGACCCCTTACTAGCTCCGCTGTCGTACATTTTGCCGGTTCATTCTTCCAATATTCCGGCATTCAAATTTACTGATGATCTGGTCACTCAATACAATTACTACATAAAAAACTGGCACCAATAGGAATATGCAGAATGTGGCAGGACTCATATCTCCGGTTTTGTTCATCTTGTTATATACGGATAGAAAACACCGCATGTCTAGCAAAACTTTTCCAGGAAGAAGTTCACTTAAAGTGCCGCTTTGCCAGTTTACATGAACCTCCTATTGATTTGGGTTTGTACTGCTATCTGCAATAATATATACGAAGACTACCATGGTTCAGAGTTGTTACCAAGAAAGTTTCTAATATATGACGGCCTGCTCCAACCATCCTCCATCAGAATTAGGTTAAGGCGTATCATCAATTTCTCTGCGGCATCTTCCTCCAAAACGGTTAACGAATCAGACGGTCGCCTCCGTAGTGGACAACCCTGAAAAATCCAAATGAAGGTACTTAAAATAGATTTGCTATCAAAGTCATACGTCGATATACATGTAGAAATGAGAAAACGTACCTTTTTGTCCTGATACAACTTTAGATATTCAAGTGATTCCTCATAAAATCCACAATGGTAGAGAAGAATGCTGTAATCTCTTTAATTCCTTCGAAAAAAAAATGAGCTGGCCAATAATTCAGTGGAGTACACACGTTAAAGCATAAAGAGAGAATTGGTGGTTGAGCTTTGTGTTGTGGGTGGAAAAAGTTTAGGTTAAAAATTTGTCGGTGTGATGAGTGATGGTTGCTTTCTTTCTACTTTCCTAAAGCAACATCGGTGCAATGGACTATTGTCATGTGTTCAGGGATGAGTGCTTTCTTTCTACTTTGCTAAAGAAACATCGGTGCGATGGACCATTGTCATGCGTTCCACTAATATTTGTATGTCCTGTGTCACTGTTTATAGGTTCCACTAATATTTGTCTGTCCTGTCACTCTTTATAACTTACAAGAGAGTTCCTATCGTTCTAGAGTGGGCGCATGATGCTGCTGAACTAAAAACTGAAATCGAAATGGTTACGAAACGAACCCTAAGTTTCTCTCCTTATTGAGTAAATTTTAGTTAGGTGAATCATGCATGTAGATTTACACATTATGTAGATATATGATTCCACATAATTTTATTATTACTCAATCACAAATGAGGTAACAATTTGTTATATACATCAATTTACATGAGAGTATCACAAGCAGATAATAGACCCCTTACTAGCTCCGCTGTCGTACATTTTGCCGGTTCATTCTTCCAATATTCCGGCATTCAAATTTACTGATGATCTGGTCACTCAATACAATTACTACATAAAAAACTGGCACCAATAGGAATATGCAGAATGTGGCAGGACTCATATCTCCGGTTTTGTTCATCTTGTTATATACGGATAGAAAACACCGCATGTCTAGCAAAACTTTTCCAGGAAGAAGTTCACTTAAAGTGCCGCTTTGCCAGTTTACATGAACCTCCTATTGATTTGGGTTTGTACTGCTATCTGCAATAATATATACGAAGACTACCATGGTTCAGAGTTGTTACCAAGAAAGTTTCTAATATATGACGGCCTGCTCCAACCATCCTCCATCAGAATTAGGTTAAGGCGTATCATCAATTTCTCTGCGGCATCTTCCTCCAAAACGGTTAACGAATCAGACGGTCGCCTCCGTAGTGGACAACCCTGAAAAATCCAAATGAAGGTACTTAAAATAGATTTGCTATCAAAGTCATACGTCGATATACATGTAGAAATGAGAAAACGTACCTTTTTGTCCTGATACAACTTTAGATATTCAAGTGATTCCTCATAAAATCCACAATGGTAGAGAAGAATGCTGTAATCTCTTAATTCCTTCGAAAAAAAAAATGAGCTGGCCAATAATTCAGTGGAGTACACACGTTAAAGCATAAAGAGAGAATTGGTGGTTGAGCTTTGTGTTGTGGGTGGAAAAAGTTTAGGTTAAAAATTTGTCGGTGTGATGAGTGATGGTTGTTTTCTTTCTACTTTCCTAAAGCAACATCGGTGCAATGGACTATTGTCATGTGTTCAGGGATGAGTGCTTTCTTTCTACTTTGCTAAAGAAACATCGGTGCGATGGACCATTGTCATGCGTTCCACTAATATTTGTATGTCCTGTGTCACTGTTTATAGGTTCCACTAATATTTGTCTGTCCTGTCACTCTTTATAACTTACAAGAGAGTTCCTATCGTTCTAGAGTGGGCGCATGATGCTGCTGAACTAAAAACTGAAATCGAAATGGTTACGAAACGAACCCTAAGTTTCTCTCCTTATTGAGTAAATTTTAGTTAGGTGAATCATGCATGTAGATTTACACATTATGTAGATATATGATTCCACATAATTTTATTATTACTCAATCACAAATGAGGTAACAATTTGTTATATACATCAATTTACTAGCTCCGCTGTCGTACATTTTGCCGGTTCATTCTTCCAATATTCCGGCATTCAAATTTACTGATGATCTGGTCAATACAATTACTACATAAAAAACTGGCACCAATAGGAAAATGCAGAATGTGGCAGGACTCATATTTCCGGTTTTGTTCATCTTGTTATATACGGATAGAAAACACCGCATATCTAGCAAAACTTTTCCAGGAAGAAGTTTCACTTAAAGTGCCGCTTTGCCAGTTTACATGAACCTCCTATTGATTTGGGTTTGTACTGCTATCTGCAATAATGTCTACGAGGACTACCATGGTTCAGAGTTGTTACCAAGAAAGTTTCTAATATATGACGGCCTGCTCCAACCATCCTCCATAAGAATTAGGTTAAGGCGTATCATCAATTTCTCTGCGGCATCTTCCTCCAAAACGGTTAACGAATCAGACGGTCGCCTCCGTAGTGGACGACCCTGAAAAATCCAAATGAAGGTACTTAAAATAGATTTGCTATCAAAGTCATACGTCGATATACATGTAGAAATTAGAAAACGTACCTTTTTGTCCTGATACAACTTTAGATATTCAAGTGATTCCTCATAAAATCCACAATGGTAGAGAAGAATGCTGTAATCTCTTAATTCCTTCGGATCTGCTTCTAGGAGAATAAGACGTTCACAAGCTGTGACAATAGACACAATGTTCAGATAACAATATGTGGACATAATATGTGGCAGCAGGCACAATATGTCCAACAGTGACGATAAAATGAAAATTTCAAATTGAAGTACAAGAATTTAACTTGAAAAGTCAAATCCTACCATTAACTAAAAATCACCACGGGACCTCAGACAGGTTAGAGATGCTTCTACAACTTTATTTAAAGATGGCTATGGATAACATGTTATTTTACTTGAAATGACTTATTGGTAAGGAGTCGGACCCTGTCCTCCAGAAAATGCAACTACAATTGTCCCAAGACATTCCCGGTGACATCTCAATCTATCTTACCGCTTCAACAGCTTCAAGAAGCATAATCTATTGACTTTGACATTACCTTCTTGACACTGGGATTAAATAAGATTCAATAAATGCGTACCAGATAGGGCACGCCTCATATCCCCAAAATGTACACTAGTCCAAACACCACGATCTAGTCTATGTTGAGCAGCCTTCGCAGATGCAAGCTGAAAGCCACTGCAAAAATAGAAAGGATCCTCACATATATGCACTTAACTTGTATTAGTTTTCAGTTGAAACTACATTCATTTCGGACAAAGTACCTGTCTTCATTTATGTTTGATCTATCAATAAAGTTAGCAGCACGTGCTGCCCTCAAGAACAAATTCCCTGGTTGATCATGCTGAAACGGCCAGAATGCGTCCTTCAAATTTCTTAAAATCTGTACATACAGTAAACTATGAGAACAGATATAGCTAAGATTAAAGGCTTGGACACATGTCTACACACCTTATCAAACATTAACCAAATATGTATCTATATACAATTCAATGCCTTAAAAGGCAAAGGCATGGGCGAGACGTTCCATGGATAACCCCGCCTTCGCCTCACGAGACCTAAATTTATATATATAATACTTTGTAAAACAAATATTCATTGTCATTCAAAGATGCACCAGTCGCAAACAAGTTTAACTCACATCATAAACAAGTTTAACCAAGCAATCAAATGTACACAAAGACACAAGCATACACACAAATGTACACAAAGATGCATGCATATAATCGATAATCTATAGTTCTACTCACCAAAATCTATGCTTACAACTGCTCAATCAAAATCTAATGGTTGAAATCTACATCCTAGCAGAGAGAACGTTTCTCTTCTTTAAAAAAAAATTAACAGTCGTTGGATGAATGTTGGTGAACAGAAACTATTGTACTCATTGGTGAATTGTATATCATGATTCAGAGGACCTGTAGATATGTTACCAACTCAGGTCCATGTCCATAATATTCAGACTAAATATACAAGTTACCTTCAAACTAGGAGGACCTGTGGGTAATCTAGAGCACATGGAACCAATTTGAATAACATAGATTGCATTTCCATGACCAAAGATAAATGACAAAGGAACTAATCAATTAACAAAATACCACAGGCAATATGATCATATCGCTCATTTAAAATATCTATATCGAATGTTTTGGGGTTGAGTTCTAACTAATTTATCCTAAACCTCTTGGCATTTTCAAATCCCTAATCCAAACACAGGGTGAGAGAACTAGGAGTTTTAGCGTACACAACTCGCTGACATAGGACAAAAAAAATTAAGGCAAAACAAACAAATTTCAACATGAAAACATAAGTCACCTCCACTAAAAGGGCTTGCGAAGTCATTATGTGCACATTATCAGATTCCTTGCTTTTCTGTTTATGATAACCTCTGGGAAGACTATGAAGATCATGAGGAAAGAATATCTCCACATCGAAATCCAAAAAACCCCATAGGCGAAGCATTTTCAAAATTTCTGAGTATATGAGTGAAAGCATTGCAGGTGATCCTGAACGATGTGTCAAAACCTGTTTGCAACATCAACATTAAACTCCTGAAAACAATCCCCATATTCTACTGTTCTCTCAACCTTGAAATAACAAATAAGTAAGGCAGACTTCCATACCGAGTGGATATATAGAGCCCGTGATTCAGAGTGATACCTTGCAATTGTCCTTCGAAAACCCTGAAAAAAAGGGCAGATAAAAAATAGTCAGCGAAAGCAAGAATTTTGCAGCGAGGGGAAGAGCCAAGTTGATACACAGATCCTGATTTATTTAAAACAAATGATAGCTTTTCTGCTACAAAGTAATTGTTTCCCGATATCAAGTTTATCTTAGTTTCTCCCTGCCAGATTCCTTCAACATTATAAGTTCGGCACTTTTGCAACACAAAGGCTCCCAACCAAGCTAAAATTTAGTTAAAAATAAAACGAATCCTTAGAGTTTTTAAGTTCAACTTTGAATCAACTACAAAGGAATAATAATCCATGTTACTGCAAACAAAAACTCTATCAATCAACATACCTTATTTACGTACAAATAGTTTTCCAAACTCTCCAACAATTTCTCAGGCGAGGATCTAAATGAAGAGTTGTAGTGAGAACAATAGTCCATGGAAAGATCACCAAACCTACTAATAAAAGCATCCACCGGAAGCGGAACTGAAGAATGTGACACAAGGGAGTCATCTTCTGCTGCAATGTAAAGAGCTGTTTTCCCCAAATCAACACATCTATTGATGGTAATGCTGGTTTCCCTCTCTATATCAGACAGATGGCGAATTTGTGAGCAGAACCCCTCCCTGGCCTCCTGGTTGTTTCTCAATTATAAATCAATCAAAATCCAAACTAAGTAAACCCCATTGCATAATCAAGGCATACATAGTCTTTACCAAACAAATACAAAAAGACATTGCATCATAACAAAGTATAAAATTACTCCCAAAAGAAGTGTATCATTTGACCTATGCACGAGAACAGTTAATCCAGCAAATGAACATAATTATCCAATTGACAGTTGCGATAGTCTTGACCTAAACTGGGTGGTCGGAAAAATGTATTGTGCAATGTAATTTACAAGGTGTCTAATATGATACAAAACAGTTTTGCATTAAAGTGGGAAAACCAGAAAAGTAAGGAAAACAACTTATCTAAATTTTTGAGGTAGGTCACGATAAAATAGTATATCATTTTAAGAAACAGTTTATACCTTGCACCTCAACACGCCACATTACTTTTAGAAGGCTTGGTACTCTCAACCTCTCTTGACTCCTAGAAAATCAATAGAACCTAAAATGGATGAAACACTACCATACATAACTGAGAGAAGCTCATCCGAAACTAGAGCTAGAAACGCCTTATTTCATTTTGTTTAGCTCGCTGTTTTTATTACTTCATCAATAATATAAAGGGAAAACTTGTTTATATTACTTCATCAATATGCTTCAATTGTACCTACCAAAAGCAATGTGAAGTTCCTTGTGTTTATTTTTCTTTCCGCTAGACAAATTAAAGACGATGTTCTCGTTAAAAACTAAACTCCAATAAGAATGGCATGGTTAGCATTCTTTGTTAAGAAATAACGGAAATAACTGAAACGACGAACATGTTTCTTGCATCATCATGGTTTGATCATTTCTTGAAATTATTCTCACTATGATACCTCAATTTCATTTCAATTTATTATGCAAATTACCCATTTTTTATACATGTTGTAAATTATAGCCAACTAAACATATGAAACTGATATATGATTATTTTCCAGCTCAAGAAATGAAATGGGAACATATGCTGAACAATTACATTAAAAATTGGGGAAAAAAAAACTAGATTAAAGTGAAACTAATGCATTCATTTCATCAATTTAAAAATAATAATTAAAAAGTTAAAATTAAAAGAAGAACAATTTATAATTTATCAGGAAGAAGCAGGTAAATTTCTTACTCTGGCGAGGGAGGTGAGGGTTCCGGAAGAATCGAGAGCATCGTGGAGCACGAAATTGAAGTCACTGCCGACGTCGGATTGGGAGCGGCACGAGAGGCGAAGAGGGCGAGGGGATGATTGGTATTTCGAGAATTTTGAAGAGGAAGAAGAAGATGAAGAGGTTGTGAGAAGCGAGTTCCTGAGAATCCATGGGGAAGAAGAAGAGGAAGCACCCAACCAAGTCATCGTTTTCTTTTACCAGAAAAATTCTGAGATATCGAGTCAGTTGGTGGTTGTTTCTATATCGGATTTTATTTTATTTTACTTTTTGGTTGGATAATTTCTATATCTGATTTATCGAGTTATTTTATGGGAATTATCTGTCTAATTTGGACCACTTCTCTTCTCTTGTTAGGGGTTCTATATTAATTAATTATTTATTTATTTTGAGTTTTTTTTTTTTTTGTTTTTTTTTTTCCCAAGAGGAAGCTCTTTTCATTAGGATGAGTTTTTCCTCAATTTTATTTCGGGACCCATTTATAAAACTTCGATTACTTCGGTGATTTTTAAATCATTTCAAAATGGTAGTAACATACCATTTTTTGTAATTCCTTTCTATCAAATAATTGTATGAATGGTTAATTCCTCCGTAATACACTTTACTTTTGATTTTTTTTAATCATTCGCTAATATAATATATCACTCTTTAAAAGATCATTTATGCAAAAAATTATTAAAACATGAGATTATTTAGTCATCAAAATATATAAAAAATGATAGACGAATTTGGTAAAAACATTATGAACGGTCCATCTATTTGGTATAATTGATCGACTGAATGACGTTTTATTTTGTTGATGCACAAAATCAGCGAAGACTTTGGTACAACAGAAAGTGTCAGGTTTTGTGACCTTCGCTTGGTTGCTTCGGTCACTAGTGAGGATAAGTACGTAAATGAATAGAGACAGAGAAGCAAACACAGGATGTACGTGGTTCACCCAGATTGGCTACGTCCATGGAGTAGAGGAGTTCTTATTAGTAGTGAAGGGCTTACACAAGTACAAAGGATCAAGCTCTCAATTTAGTGAGTTCTTGTGAATGATTTAACACAAAAATGGCATTAGCCAATATTGTGGGGGAATGACCCCTATTTATAGAAAAACTTGTAGCTTTGTCACATTGACATGTGTCATGTTATGATTGGTTCTTGATGTCGACACGTGCTGCGCTCTGATTGGCTTCTAATCTTGACACGTGTCGAGTAGTGATTGGCCTCCTGGTCGGAGGGGAACTCTTGTGGGTCCTTGACAGTATAGCGTTGGCCGGTGCTCGGTAGTTTCGGGATTGGTCAAGTATGGTACAAACAGTGCTCCCCTAAGTTCCCGAGTGAGGGAAACTCCTCGGTTGGGGACTTGCAAGATCCAATCCCTTGAGTAATCACGAAACTTCTAAGTACCGAAGTGTGGTCTGATCTTCATCTGCCCTTCTCTGGAAGTACCTTTCCTCCATCCGGGAATGGTGTATTTAGCTGATGTTGACGCACAAGGTAATGTATCAATTTCACTTGAAGCTTAGTTGTAGTTTCGGGCTTAGTCAAGTGTGATACAAACCCTATAGTAGGAGTCCCCAAGTCGCCGAGCTAGGAGATCTGCCGAAAGAGGTGACAGACAAGGTAAGCAGTCAAACTTCCAAGTAAGCAACCCAGGATCAGAGGTTTGACTTAGGCTTCCGGTTGATTGTTCTCCTTCTCCTTGTCTCTCATTCAACTGCCAGGATAAGGAGAAGCAAATGGATAAGAGATGATATGAGATACTTTTGCTTTTGAAGAAGTAACTTTCCACAGGCTTATTCTTGAACTGTGCTGGAGGGTTTTCTGGTGCCCTTCAGAGTATAAGGCCGACTCAAAAATTTGAGGGTCAAAACAAGTCCATCAAATCTAGAGTACGTTCGACCTTGATGATATGGGATACTTTTGCTGTTGACGGAATAATGAATGTGGTATGGAAAGGTGTCGTGCTGTAGTGATCTGTTTCAGCTCACCGTTGAACCTTCTGCTTCAATCTTTTGCATGGCAGAAGTGGTGTGCAACCTTTGCATTTAAATGGTCCTTCAGAACATTCCTTCATAGTGACTCATCCACGCTTGGCAGCTTCAGTGTAAAGAGCCAATATCTGATCAACTGTCATGAGGTATTTGCCGGTGGAATTCGTGACCTTGACAGCAGTTGAGGATGAGTACTCGAGAGCAATGCTAAGTAAGCAACCAGGCAAAGGCTCCAGGCAGTCAGTTCCAAATTGGAGGTTTGATTTCAGGTTCCGACTGATTGCTCTCTTTCTCCTTGTCCTGCAGGTGTGGACAAGGACAAAGACAAAGATAGGGAGAAAGCATGATATGGGATACTCTTGCTTTCGACCCTGATGATATGAGATACTCTTGTTCTTGGTGTGGCTTATTTGCTGAGGTATTATCGGGGGGAAATAAAGCTGAGTATTTCGAGAGGTTATGTTGAGGGTGCCTTTTCGAATGCGAGAAAGGGTTGAGCATTTTTTGCAGGTTTGCCTGTCCGTTGAGGAGGGAGGTCAATGTATATAGGGATTTCCCAATAACAAGTAGTAATGCTATTCCTTTTACCCTTCTTGGTCACAGCAATGTAGTGGGAGTTGCCAGCTTCACGTGTTTTAATTTTGTCAGAGCACTTTGAAAAAGTGGTATGTGGTATCTGGAAAGCTGATATTACGTGTGAAGATTACAGACAAGCTTTATCTAAGGAAATCTGGCTCTCGAAGTTCTGAGAGTTGTGCCTCTTCGGTTTTCGAACAAGCAATCCCGTCGAGGATCTGACTTTCGAGATTCGGAAAGCGGTGCTACTCCGGTTTTTGAGAAAGTAATTATGTTGGGAGTCTTTTCTCGAATGTGAGTAAAGGTTGGACGTTCTTGCCAACCTGTCTTGCCGCAAAACACGGAGGTCGACACACATAGGGACTTTCCAGTTGTCAAGCAGTGGTGCTGTTCCTTTACCCTTATGGGTAATAGTAGGGTAGCTGGAACTTCGAAATTCTCGTGCCTAAACTTTGTCAGAGATCTTTGACAAAGTTATATGTGGTACCCGAGGAGTTGATGGTGCATATGGAGAGCGGTGATTGAACAGTAAGATTCACGTGCTTTTTACTTCACCAGAAATCTTCGACAGATTGCCCGTAATTTTCGCAAAGCTGATTGTGCATGTGACAGGTGCTGACGAGGCTGAAAAAAGCAGGTGCTTCTTCGATTTCTGAGATCGGCCCTCGTGGTCTCTGAGCAGCCCAGCTTTTGAGAAAGCAAACGCCTCTTCGATTTCTGAGATCGGCCCTCGTGGTCTCTGAGCAGCCCAGCTTTTGAGAAAGCAAACGCCTCTTCGATTTCTGAGATCGGCCCTCGTGGTCTCTGAGCAGCCCAGCTTTTTGAGAAAGCAAACGCCTCTTCGATTTCTGAAGCTCCGTCGAGTGCAGATTTTTTATAGAGGCTGGCATTAAGTTCCACAGCACACCTGAATCTCTACCAGTAGAAGCTCATTTCTTGCACTTCTAAGATCTTGATTTGTCTGACCTCTTCCTTCTTCAACACATTTGAAAATGTCTGGACCCTCCGACCGTCGTTTTGACCTGAACCTTGGAGAAGAGACAGCCACGCCTTCTCCAGACAACATATGGCGCCCATCCTTCATATCCCCTACTGGTCCTCTTACCGTTGGGGATTCTGTGATGAAGAATGATATGACCGCTGCAGTGGTGGCCAGGAACCTTCTCACTCCCAAAGATAACAGACTACTTTCCAAACGGTCTGATGAGTTGGCTGTTAAGGACTCTCTGGCTCTTAGTGTTCAGTGTGCAGGTTCTGTGTCTAATATGGCCCAACGCCTATTTGCTAGAACCCGCCAAGTTGAATCATTGGCTGCTGAAGTGATGAGTCTCAAACAGGAGATTAGAGGGCTCAAGCATGAGAATAAGCAGTTGCACCGGCTCGCCCATGACTATGCTACAAACATGAAGAGGAAGCTTGACCAGATGAAGGAATCTGATGGTAAGGTTTTACTTGATCATCAGCGGTTTGTGGGTTTGTTCCAAAGGCATTTATTGCCTTCGTCCTCTGGGGCTGTACCTGGTAATGAAGCTTCAAATGATGAACCTCCAATGCCTCCTCCTTCTGGGGTTTTGTCAAGTACTGAGGCTCCGGATAACCACCCTCCGGTGCTTTCTCTTTCTGGGGCTCTACCGACTGCTGAGACTTCCCCTAAGCAACCTTTGTGAAGGCTCCCTTTTGTTTGTTTATTTTGACTCATGTATATGTACATATTTGTGGCTTATCGAAAATATTAATAAATAAGCTTTGCTTCATTTCAATATATTGTGTTAAATACACCAAAGCCTTCTTCATAAAGTTCTTTGAATTTTTGCTTTTGTTGAAACCTGTATTGTTGAAGCTTTGTGAGTGAAGCATGTAGTTTGAGGTAGTGTTCCCTTAATTTCCCGAGTGAGGAAAACTTCTCGGTTGGAGACTTGAAAAATCCAAGTCACTGAGTGGTTGTGAGACTGCCGAGTATTAAGGTGCAGTAGCATATGGTGGGAGTCCCCCAAGTCTTCAGGCGAAGAGAGTTGCCGAATGAGGTGTCTCGCTTGTTACTAATTTGTCAAAGTAACGAATCCTTGTTTCGATGTCACACATTCGCATATGCCTTATCTAAAAATATTTCCAACTTTTGTGTGTTTGATGCTGCATGCTATTGACTAGACAAGATCAAGTGCAATTAGTAGCTTTTCTCTCTTTTTCATCTTTTCTTTGGTGGAATTGCTTTTCGTTTCCACTAATCAGCCTGAGTGGATGCAAGATAACACCATTCTCTATAGCTCAGATCGCAAAGTCGTCTTCATGAAAGTTGTTCCTTATCTTGTGAACTACAACATCTCCAAATTTGAGATCTATCGGAGTAGTACAACTCCAGAAATTCAGGTATGATGAGTAACTGTTCATCAATTTTCTGTTAACCCGTCAGACTTGTTGTGAGCTTCTAAACTCCATTTTTTCTTGTTCATCTCAACATACTTTCTTCATCGAAGTTGTTCCTCACCTTGTCAGCTACAACATATCCAAATTTGAGATCCATCGGAGCAGTACAAATCCAGAAATTCAGGTATGATGAGTGACTGTTCATCATTTTTCTGTCAACCTGTCAGACTTGTTGTGAGCTTCGAAACTCCATTTTCTCTTGTTCAGATCAACATACTTTCTTCATCGAAGTTGTTCCTTAACTTGTGAACTACAACATATCCAAATTTGAGGTCCCTCGGAGCAGTATAACTCCAGAAATCCAGGTATGATGAGTGACTGTTTATCATTTGTCTGTCAACCCGTCAGATTTGTTGTGAGCTTTGAAACTCTATTTTCTCTTTGCTCAGATCAGCATGCTTTCTTCATTGAAGTTGTTCCTCAGCTTGTGAACTACAACATATCCAAATTTGAGATCCCTCGGAGCTGTATAACTCAAGAAATTCAGGTATGATGAATGACTGGTTAGTATTTTTCTGTCAACCCGTCAGATTTGTTGTGAGCTTCGAAACTCCATTTTCTATTGTTCAGATCAGCATGCTTTCTTCATTGAAGTTGTGCCTCATTGTCTCTTTCATAACATATCAAAAATTCAGAATGAACTAATGGTTAAATATTTCCAGATCTTCGAAACATCATAGCAGCTTCGAAATCTGCAAGAATCCGACTGTCATGTTTGGAGCTTCAACACTTTAATTTCCGTCGCTCAAACAGAAATGGTTCCTTCTTGAAAGTTGTTCATATGCTCAAAAACTATAGGGTGTCCAAAATTCAGCTCCATTGGAGAAGAGCAGAGGTTGCAGAAATTTGATAGATGAAAGGAGGCGGAAGAGGGAGAGAGAGAAAAAAGTCTCTTGGGTTGGATTTCTATTTTGGGGCAGATTCCAAGTTTTGTAGCACCTTCATTATTGATGAATTGCTTGTACTTTTGTCCATTATGAAACTTGGGACTTTGGCTTGTTGTTGGATCTATTATAATATGTTTGGAAACATATACATAATTGCTTGTTTGGTTATGACAGGGATGTTGTGGGTGTAGAACAAAACAAATGTTTGTGTTGACCTGTGTTTTTGTACAAGTTCAAGGGCATCTTGGGTTTTGTGAACAAAATTTGTTTATTTGGAGCAAGGTTTTGTGTTGAAGCTTTGTAGGTGAAGCTTTGGTGTTGAAGCTTTCTAGGTGAAGCTTTGATGGTGAAGCTTTCTGGGTGAAGCTATGTAGGTGAAGCTTTCTAGGTGAAGCTTTTTTAGGTGAAGCTTTGTAGGTGAAGCTTTTTTAAGTGAAGCTTTTCGGGTGAAGTTTTTTTGGGTGAAGCTTTGTGGGTGAAGCTTTTTAGGTGAAGCTTTGTGGGTGAACTTTTTTAGGTGAAGCTGTTTGGGTGAAGCTTTTTGGAGGTGAAGTTTTTTTTGGGTGAAGCTTTTTTAGGTGAAGCTTTTTGGGTGAAGCTTTGATGGTGAAGTTTTTTTTGTGAAGCTTTTTGGGTGAAGCTTTGGAGGTGAAGCTTTTCGGGTGAAGTTTTTTGGATGAAGCTGTTTTTTTTTTTTTTTTTTTTTTTTTTTTTTTTTTGGGCGCTTGACACGGTCTTCATTTGCTTGTTTTGTAGTGACTGTGGAAGACGGATTGCTTTCTGATTGAGAAGGGTTCCGGCATCGCTTTGCACCATCTTCATGTGGGTAATATAGGAACTTCCTTATGTTTTGATCATGCATGTAGTGATAGAATTTGTTTCTTCTTATTGTAGATGTCAGAGCCTGGAAGTTCTAGTGATGAGGGCTCTTCTAGCTTTAGCTCTAAGTCTGAGTCTGCAATGTCGGAGTCTTCAGGGTCTTTGTTAGAGTCCGGTACTAGAGAAACATTGGATGATCTTCCCAACCGTCAAACTTTAGCTATTGCTAGTTCTTCCTCCATGGCGTTGGGTGAGGGGGTTGTTTTTGATGCCATACCCATAGTTCGCTCTGAGTTCACAGCAGACCATCTAAAGAATAACTTGTTAGATAATGAGAAGCAGGTTGAGGCGCTAAGGCAGTCATGTAATATCCCTCGTAGTGTAGGGATACGTTTGGTACATGATGAAGAATGGCCTTCTGAGCCTCCCCAGGGTCATGTTATGTTCTACACCCAGATATTACTGACTTTAGGGGTGAGACTACCTTTACATCCGTGGTTGCAAAAGATGTTATCTTTGATCGGATATGCACCTGGGCAACTCAATCCTGGTTTCTGGGATACTTTGATTGGATTTTATATCATTTGGATGGAGTGTGGGTTGTGTGAGCCTTCCTTCCATCAGTGGCGTTACTGTTACAAGATGCGCCCAGCAAAATCATGCACTGGTTATGCCGAGTGTGCATGTCGGAGTGAGAGAGAGCGTATTGTGTATGGTAAGAAAAAGGCATACTACACATGGAAAAACCGTTGGTGCTTTCTGTATAATGATTGGGAGTATGATAAGGGTGTCACGCCTGAGCGACGTGTGCTTACTCACTTCCAGACTGTAGGTTGTAACGTATCAACCGTTCGTACTATTTGCTATTTGTTGTGGTCTTTTCTTGCTTCTAAACACTTTGCTTCATGTAGTGACGCGGGGCACCATCCAACTGTTTGGGCAGGAGCTATCTGACATAGAGAAGGTGTTGAGGGTGCCCAAAGAGGATAGACACTTAAGCAAGCTACGACCCTTATTTCGTCGGTACGGTTTCCAACCCTTAGTTTCCGAGAGCCAGGGACGATCGAGTAAGTTGCATCCTTCATGTAAACTTAGCTCAATTCCTTACTTTATTTGGAAAGTTGTATTTCTTATTTTGATTTTCCTTATGCAGTGGAGAAGGTAAGCAAGAAAACAGGGACTAGCACCAATAAAAGGAAAGCACCAGTGTTAGTTCCTTCGGAAGACATCCTACCGCATAAGAAAATTCATAAGTTCCGAGGGGAACCATCCGTTAGACCTAAGTCCCAAGATGGGGTCCTTAAGGGGCCTGCCTTTAGGAAGACTGGAGTCGAGGCCGTTGAAAATACTGCTGCCGTAGTTGTAGGAGAAGGGAGCCGACTGTTGCCTCCTCCTCTTACTATGGAGCACACTGTCCAGGAAAGTGATCCTGGTTCCCGCCATGAGGGGAAAGGCAAGGAAAGAGCTGGCAGTGTCCCGTGGAAGGACTTGAGGGTTGCCACGCGGCCAAAGGATTTTGGGGATATCAACAATTGCTTGGCAGGGCGTCGATTCGCCTTCGATGAGCTCGGAGAGCCCTTAGCTAAGGATGAATCGGATTGCGACCGGATGTTGAAGCTGTCTTCATATGTGAGTGTTACTTTGTCATTTCCTTACTTTTTCCTCTTTATTATCATTATTTAGGTAGTGATGATCGTCTTGCCATGCAGGTCATGGCCGAGTATCACGACAGACTGCAAGAGGTTGAGCGGTACAAGGCAAAACTGAAGGAGAATAAGCAGCTTGTGGACGAGGCCCGAAGGAATAAGGGACACTTATTCCTACTCTCTTCAGCTGTGTCAGGTATGGGTGTGCCGCTTGAAAGTCGTTTCCCACAGACGGCCTTATTGGAAGATTCAGATATGGGTGTGCCGCCGCTTATGGAATATATGACATTCACTTGGCGTTGGTTACGGTTATCCCTTTGAGGGTGAAGAAGGAATTGATCAATTTTTCCTTCTCGTGCAAAGCTTCAATACGATCACGGAGGATGATACATTTCTCGCTATCATGGCCGTTATGCTCATGGTAGCAACAAAACATGCCCGCGTTATTCGGGGGCGTGTAATCTGGGTGCCTCGGCTTTGGCTTTGGTATCAGGTGAGCTATGCTGGGGTAAATGGCCGCGCATGTGGCATTCAAGGGCGTGTATGTCTCATACCTTGGGGTAGGGGGTATCTTGACGCGGGTTTGACCCACTGCATTGACTGCCTGGGGGCGAGCGTTATTGTGGCGATACCCTTGGTTATCGGGATAGTGTCCCTTATTCTTTTTACTGGAAGGAGAGTGGTGAGGATGGAAATCCTTCCTCTTGCCTTGAAATTGATATGTCTGTTGATTCGGTGAAGCATTATGCAAGGCATGGGGAGGTGCCACTGCTGTTTGGAAAGTCGAGGTCTTCTCATTTAGGTGAGTCTGGCTTTCACCTCCCACTTGTTGATAAAGGATGGTTGTAGGGGGTTTCTCCTGATATGTCTTTGCCTCGGCGGAGGCATGGTTATAAGCCTGCGCCATCACCTCAGAGTAAGTCTTCCAAGTATTGGCATTGATGATCATGTATTTAAAGAAACAATCACGTAGGCCTGCCGTGAAGGCTTTGAGGGCAGTCTTGTCGTCTGCCTCGGCACACCGGGAGTATTCATGGCTGAAGCGGCCAGCATACATACGTAATGACTCGTCTGGCTTCTGGCGGATAGTGTACAGGTCATCTGCAGAGTGCAAGCGATCGGTTTGGAAAATGTGTTGGGAAACAAATAGTTTCCTCAATTCCTCAAATGAGTCTACCGTCTCAGGTGTAAGACGACAATACCAATTTAGAGCTCCGCCAGAGAGGGTGGAGGGGAAGAGAAGACATCGCTCTTCGTCGGTGTGCATCCGGTATGCCATGGTGGACTCAAAGAGGTTAAGGTGCTCAATCGGGTCCTCTTTTCCAGTATAAAGTTGCAAGCCAAGCTTCTGCTTTGTCTTTGCTTGAAGGGGGTGTTGAGGATCCTCCTTGTAAGAGGGCCAGGCCTGGGTTGGTTCCAGTCAGGTATTTCAGCCTGACGTTCAGCCTTCAACTTGTTTACTTCCTCAAGAAGTTGTAGGACAAGGGGGTCATGAGCGGAGTTATGTGCCACTGGAGCTTTCTTTCGTAAATCTCCATCTCCTCTTGGAATTAGGAAGGTTGATGATCAAGGGCATGTGATTTTTCCCTGGACTCGCTGTACTGGCTTCCAGGGTATGTCTGTCGGAACACCTCTGAGTCCCCTGTACCCTCATGTCTCTCTAGGACTTGTTGCACCTTCCCCAAGTTGGTGGCCGGCTCGGGCCGTGGCAGGGGACCGAGTCTCTCAGAAATCCTTGGGTCATTGATCTTTGAGCTTATATGGATGGAATTCTCTCGACGTTGCTTCAGGAAATCCCGACAATCGCGAAAGACGGCTTTCGATCCTTCTGCCCCTTCAGCAAAGAGGTGTCTCCCTCCGCTTCTCATGGTTCGGGTCGAAGCAACTGGGTTAAGAGAAGCCTCATGTTGATTATCAAATCGAGGGGTAATTTGTTCCCTATCAGGGATATCTATGTCGAATGCATGTGACCCTCCATGTTGGAGGGCACCCAGTTGATGGTTGACTTCCACGGGGGCAACAAGCTCGCGTGTCTGAGCTTGCCTAGCTTCGTGAAGTGTCTCGAAGAGCTTCTCATATTGCTCCTGGAGGACCTCATTCCTCATTGCTATCTTGTTGTTCTGAGCTTCCAACTCATCGACTTTAGCTTGAAGAAGAACTCGTTTTCCTTCCTTCTTTCGTTGTTTCGCACTATGTGCAAGGGGGGGTGTCATTCTGTGTGCTGTGGCTTCCTTCGCTTCCCATGCTGGAGAGGGATGCCTGATCAAAAGAAAGTGTACGAATGATAGAAACCAGCTTGACACAGCTGAAGAGAGTAGGAATAAGTGTCAATTCCCACAGACGGCGCCAAATGTTGATGCACAAAATCAGCGAAGACTTTGGTACAACAGAAAGTGTCAGGTTTTGTGACCTTCGCTTGGTTGCTTCGGTCACTAGTGAGGATAAGTACGTAAATGAATAGAGACAGAGAAGCAAACACAGGATGTACGTGGTTCACCCAGATTGGCTACGTCCACGGAGTAGAGGAGTTCTTATTAGTAGTGAAGGGCTTACACAAGTACAAAGGATCAAGCTCTCAATTTAGTGAGTTCTTGTGAATGATTTAACACAAAATGGCATTAGCCAATATTGTGGGGGAATGACCCCTATTTATAGAAAAACTTGTAGCTTTGTCACATTGACATGTGTCATGTTATGATTGGTTCTTGATGTCGACACGTGCTGCGCTCTGATTGGCTTCTAATCTTGACACGTGTCGAGTAGTGATTGGCCTCCTGGTCGGAGGGGAACTCTTGTGGGTCCTTGACAGTATAGCGTTGGCCGGTGCTCGGTAGTTTCGGGATTGGTCAAGTATGGTACAAACATATTTAATTTTTGCAGAGGGACTTTACATATCGATTTATAATATAAACGGTCTCAATCGTAATCAAGAAGTTTTGTAAATCGGACATGAAATAAAATGAGGAGGAACTTCTCCTCAGGCTCCTTTATGAAAAAGATAGACCATTTGAACTTGAGACACAATATTTTTTTAGCTAAACTCCCCTCCCCCTTAGTGTAAAAATGTCAATGTACTAAAAAAAAAAACTTAATTGTCAAAATGATTAATGTGTTATAGTCATTTGGCCAATTTAGTTCCCATGTTTTCAATTTGGCCAATTTAGTCCTCTTGTTTATCTCTGTTAGCCAATTAAGAACATTCCATCCAATTTTTGCTAAAGAATTTATAAAAAAAATATCATAACCTATTATAAAAAATCAGTTAAAATAGAAAGAAATATAACTTCAAAATGAAATAAAAAATTAAAAAAACCCACTTTGCCATCCGCCTTGTCCTTGACCTAAACACCAACCCTAGCCACACACGCAGGCAACTTGACGAACAAGTCTCTAGATCCACCTCAACCCACCTGCCACCGCATGAGTTCCTTCATCATAGTCACAAGAAAATTAACTATGACCAAAATTTACTATAAAAACGCAAATCAATGAGAAATATCACGAGGACTAATTGACCTAATGACTAAAACACATACCATTTTAACAGTTAAGCTTTTTAGTTTAAAGAAATCTTTAATGTTTGAAAAAGACTACAACAACAACAACAACAACAACAACAAAGCTTTTTCCCACTAAGTGGGGTCGGCTATATGAATCCTAGAACGCCATTGCGCTCGGTTTTGTGTCATGTCCTCCGTTAGATCCAAGTACTCAAGTCTTTTCTTAGGGTCTCTTCCAAAGTTTTCCTAGGTATTCCTCTACCCCTTCGGCCCTGAACCTCTGTCCCGTAGTCACATTTTCGAACCGGAGCGTCAGTAGGCCTTCTTTGCACATGTCCAAACCACCGGAACCGATTTTCTCTCATATTTCCTTCAATTTTGGCTACTCCTACTTTACCTCGGATATCCTCATTCCCAATCTTATCCTTTCTCGTATGCCCATACATCCCATGAAGCATCCTCATCTCCGCTACACCCATTTTGTGTACGTGTTGATGCTTCACCGCCAAACATTCTGTGCCATACAACATCGCTGGCCTTATTGCCATCCTATAAAATTTTCCCTTGAGCTTCAGTGGCCTACGACGGTCACACAACACGCCGGATGCACTCTTACACTTCATCCATCCAGCTTGTATTCTATGGTTGAGATCTCCATCTAATTCTCCGTTCCCTTGCAAGATAGATCCTAGGTAGCGAAAACGGTCACTTTTTGTGATCTTCGCTAGATTGCTCCGGTCATTAGTGTGGATAAGTATATAAATGGATAGAGATAGGAAAGCAAACACAAGATGTACGTGGTTCACCCAGATTGGCTACGTCCACGAAATAGAGGAGTTCTTATTAATTGTGAAGGGTTTACACAAGTACATAGGTTCAAGCTCTCCTTTAGTGAGTACAAGTGAATGATTTAGTACAAATGACATTAGGAAATATTGTGGGAGAATGATCTCGTAACCACGAAACTTCTAAGTACTGGAGTGTGGTATCGTCTTGACTTGCCTTATCTGTCTCATAGGTAGATGTGGCATCTTCTCTGGAAGTACTCTTCCTCCATCCAGGGTGGTGTATCTGTAACTGGTGGAGATGCACAAGGTAATGTATCAATTTCACTTGAAGCTTACTTGTAGTTTCAGGCTTGGTCAAGCGCGATACAAACCATGTAGTAGGAGTCCCCCAAGTCGCCGAGCTAGGGGATCTGCTGAAAGAGGTGACAGACAAGGTAAGCAATCAGAGCTCCGGCTGATTGTTCACATTCTCCCTATCTTGCAGGTAGCATGAAGGATAAAGAGAAGAAAAATGAGAAGAGATGATATGGGATACTTTTGCTTTTGAAGAAGTAACTTTCCACAGGCTTATTCTTGAACTGGGCTGGAGGGTTTTCTGGTTTCCTCCAGAGTATAAGGCCGACTGAAGAATTTGAGGGTCAAAACAAGTCCATCAAATCTAGAGTACGTTCGACCCTGCTGATATGGGATACTTTTGCTTTTGACAGAGTAATGGATGTATCGGCACGTGTGCTGTTACGCTTGTCTCCACATGCTTCCTTGTATCCTTCTCACTTGCCCTATCTGTTCCTCAGGCAGATGCGGTATCTTCCCTGGAAGCATAAGATGTTGAAGATGAGTACTCGAGAGCAATGCCAGGTAAGTAATCAGGTAAGGGGTTCCAGGCAGTCAGTTCCTGGCTGGAAGCTTGATTCCAAGTGCTGACTGATTGCTCTCTTTCTCCTTGTCTTGCAGGTAAGAACAAGGCCAAAGGAAAAGACAGGGAAAAAAGCATGATATGGGATACTCTTGCTTTTAACCCTGATGATATGAGATATTCTTGCTCTAGTATAGCTTGTTTACAGAGGTATTATCGGGGGGAAAGAAAGCTGAATATTTCGAAAGGCTTCGTTGGGAGTGCCCTCTCAGATAAGAGGAAGGGTTGAGCATTTTTGCAGGTCTGCCTGTCCGTTGGGGATGGAGGTCGACATATATAGGAGTCTCCCTAACATCAAGTAATAATGCTATTCCTTTACCCTGCTTGGTCATAGCACGGTAGTGGGAGCTGCCAGCTTCACATGTTTTTTTAACTCTGTCAGAGCACTTTGAAAAAGTGGTCTGTGGTATCTGGAAAGCTGATGTTGCGTGTGAAGATTACAGACAAGCTTTATCCAAGGAGATCCAGCTCTTGAAGTTGGGAAAGTGTTGCCTCTTCGGTTTTCGAACAAGCAATCCTGTCGGGGATCTGGCTCTCGAGATTCGGAGAACGATGCCTCTTCGATTTTTGAGAAAGCAATCCTGCTGGGGTCTGGCTCTCGAGATTCGGAGAGCGGTGTCTTCGATTTTTGAGAAAGTAATCATGTTGGGAGTCTGGCTCTCGAGATTCGGAGGGCGGTGCCTCTTCGATTTTGGAGCAAGCAATCTTGTTGGGAGTGTTTTCTCGAATGTGAGTAAAGGTTGGGCATGTTTGCTAGTCTACCTTGCCACGAAGCACAGAGGTTGACACACAGGACTTTCCAATTATCCAGCAGTGGTACTGTTCCTTTACCCTCTCTTCGATTTTTGAGAAAGTAATCATGTTGGGAGTCTGGCTCTCGAGATTCGGAGGGCGGTGCCTCTTCGATTTTGGAGCAAGCAATCTTGTTGGGAGTGTTTTCTCGAATGTGAGTAAAGGTTGGGCATGTTTGCTAGTCTACCTTGCCACGAAGCACAGAGGTTGACACACAGGGACTTTCCAATTATCCAGCAGTGGTACTGTTCCTTTACCCTCTCTTCGATTTTTGAGAAAGTAATCATGTTGGGAGTCTGGCTCTCGAGATTCGGAGGGCGGTGCCTCTTCGATTTTGGAGCAAGCAATCTTGTTGGGAGTGTTTTCTCGAATGTGAGTAAAGGTTGGGCATGTTTGCTAGTCTACCTTGCCACGAAGCACAGAGGTTGACACACCGGGACTTTCCAATTATCCAGCAGTGGTACTGTTCCTTTACCCTTGTGGGTAATAATATGGTAGCTAGACCTTCAAAATTTATGTGTCTAAACTTTGTTAGTGTTGTTTCTTTGCTAATTCTTTTACCCTTCTTGGTCAGAGCGATGTAGTGGGAGCTGCAAGCTTCACGTGTCTCAACTTTGTCAGAGAACTTTCAGAGAACTTTGGCAAAGTTATATGTGGTGGTACCCATGAGCTACTGTTGCGTGTGGGAAGTGGGTGATTGAACAGTACGATTCATGTGCTTTCTACTTCGCCAGAAATCTTCGACAGAATGCCCATAATTTCCGCAAAGCTGAGTGTGCGTGTGACAGGTGCTGACAAGGCTGGAAAAGTAGGTGCCTCTTCGATTTCTGAGATCGGCCCTCGTGGTCTCTGAGCAGCCCAGCTTTTGAGAAAGCAAGCCTCTTCGATTTCTGAGATCGGCCTTCGTGGTCTTTGAGCAGCCCAGCTTTTGAGAAAGCAAACGCCTCTTCGATTTCTGAGATCGACCCTCGTGGTCTCTGAGCAGCCCAGCTTTTGAGAAAGCAAACGCCTCTTCGATTTCTGAGCAGGCGCCTCTTCGATTTCTGAAGCTTCCGTCGAGTGCAGATTTTTATAGGGGCTGACATTAAGTTCCAAAGCACACTTGAATATCCACCAGTAGAAGCTCCATTCTTGCACTTCTAAGATCTTGATTTGTCCGACCTCTTCTCTCTCTTCAACACCTTTGAAAATGTCTGGCCCCTCCGACCGTCGTTTTGACTTGAACCTTGTTGAAGAGGCAGCCCCGCCTTCTCCAGACAACATATGGCGCCCATCCTTCGTCTCCCCTACTGGTCCTCTTACCGTTGGGGATTCCGTGATGAAGAATGATATGACCGCTGCGGTAGGTGGCCAGGAACCTTCTCACTCCCAAAGATAACAGACTACTTTCCAAACGGTCTGATGAGTTGGCTGTTAAGGATTCTCTGGCTCTCAGTGTTCAGTGTGCAGGTTCTGTGTCTAATATGGCCCAACGCCTATTTGCTCGAACCCGCCAAGTTGAATCATTGGCGGCTGAAGTGATGAGTCTCAAACAGGAGATTAGAGGGCTCAAGCATGAGAATAAAACAGTTGCACCGGCTCGCACATGACTATGCTACAAACATGAAGAGGAAGCTTGACCAGATGAAGGAATCTGATGGTCAGGTTTTACTTGATCATCAGAGATTTGTGGGTTTGTTCCAAAGGCATTTATTGCCTTCGTCTTCTGGGGCTGTACCGCGTAATGAAGCTCCAAATGATCAACCTCTGATGCCTCCTCCTTCTAGGGTTCTGTCCAGTACTGAGGCTCCGAATGATCCCCCTCCGGTGCCTTCTCTTTCTGGGGCTCTACCGACTGCTGAGACTTCTCCTAAGCAACCTTTGTGAAGGCTCCCTCTTGTTTGTTTATTTTGACTCAAGTATATGTACATATTTGTAACTTATCGGGGATATCAATAAATAAGCTT